CGGTGCCGGGCTGGGGTCAGCTCGCAGCGACTTCCTGCCGAGTCCACTGAAAGGCTAGTTGTATGTTTTGGGGTTGGAAAGGATCTCGGCATTGATGAATGTGTTCCAGACCCCATCAAAAGTGAAATGTCCACAGTACCGTGTAAAACAATTCTAATTGATCTCGTGTCGCAGATATGGCCAGGTCTTTCTGTGTGGAGTTTGCATGGTTTGCCTGGTTTCCCCTTTGTAAATATGGTTGGCTGGCATCTGTCAAATTTCCCTCCGTGTGTGTGTGTGTGTGTGACTGTGTTCCCCATGCGTCCAGCTGTGTGGAGTCTGCATGTTCTTTCCCGACTGTATGCAGAGTGTAATCCGTATTTATGGGACAGGGGTTGGGATTCCATGACTTAGATGAGGTGTCAAAAGAGCACATCATTTGTAGGAATTATGCACCGTCTTGGCTAGAGACTTCCAGATGCCAGGAAAAGGCTTTCCTCAGCTCCAGTGGAGAGCAACAAGATTCTTCTCCGATGTTCTTAACTGGGACGGTCGCCTGACATCCGCATCCCAAACCCCCCCACCCCCCCACTGTAGATACGAAGCGCTGTTTTTACCGAGACGTTCGCTGTTCTGGGAACGGCCATTAAAAATGTCATTACTCCAGCGCGGAAACCATCTTTAAAAAGCACCAATTCCTCAGGCTCCTCCGTTTAATGGGGTCGGAACTTTATTAAATCTTGCCCCCTCCCCAGTACAGAAAAAGGGGGCCCTGTTGTGAGGGAGCACTAAAGCTTATTCCTGAGTCAATATCTCCCAATTACCGGCTTCCCTTTTCATCCTGTATATCCGATGGAACACAATGAGCATTCTGGCTACCAGACAGACTAAGAAGACTCTATTTAAGGAAAACGCCTCAATTTCGGATTGGAAGGAGACCAAAAGAAAAAAACAAACAACGTTTAGTCTGCGTTGGGAAAGAGCAGTGGCTTCTTCGGCGATCACCAGCTGGGTGATTCCGGACACATTCCCTGTATCCCTCTGCTTTGTGCCTGCGTACGGCGAGGTCCCGGCTTAAGAGACGTTACTACCCTCTTCCGGTTTTAGGCTTTGATCCTTGTTTCAGAATTTCGGGAATTGAACGGGAGTTTCCGGAGCTGCGCTTTTCTCCCTGGCTGTTGTAGCCTTGATTCCACACACCCCCCCCTTTCCTTGAGTGCTGTGCCGCCGATGGTGTTAAAAATAGCAGAGCCAGGCTAGTGAAATGAGTATGGAGAACAGGGAATGATGGAGCGGCGGCGGCGGATTTGGGAAAAGGCGCGAGGCGCGTTTTGGAATCTCCATGGGGAATTCCCCCATCCCCATGGAAATCACACTGCAGTTTGGGTGGCAAAGCAGTCCCGAGTCTGTAAGGTTGTGAATATTGCTCAGGGATGTCTGCTTCAAGCTGGCTCTGTATTTCCACAGCAGAATCTTGAAATCTCCGCATTATTTCACGGGAATATCGAAGCTGGAGTTCTGCGATCGTGTGTCTTAGGTTCTGTTGAAGCACAGGCAGGTCGTTTCTTATGCCCTGCGATGATTTTGTACTCCTCCCCTCCCCTGTTTTCCTCTGACTTGACTGGGAGTGGGTGGAAGTCTCTCCTGCCGCCTCTGCAGAGGTTTCAGGTCCAGGGCCCGTGCCCCACAAGGCCTTGCAGGAGAGCTCGCATTGGCAGTACCGCAGGCGGCCACAGGGGGTCAGCAAACCGACGGCCGCCCAGCCAATCGCCGTGGGGGGGGGGAATCATTCCCCAGTGTTGGCTCGTATCAGTCCGACAGCCCCCCCGATGGACCCCGATAACTGCAGTGCTGGTCCACCCCTTCAAACAGCTGGCTCCCGGACCGTATCGGAGCACATCGGGGACTGAAGCACTCAGCTTATTCCTGGTTATCGGACACCCTGTGTCACAGAGATTCGAAGCCCCTGATGTAATGAGGGAGAACAGTTACTGTAACTGTTTATGTTTATGTCTTCGACACACTTAACGAACGCACTTAACGGCACGGCTGTGTGCAATCCGCCGCGTTCAGACGCCAGCCCTCCTCCTATTCCTGTTTCGTTTCTGCTGGCTTCCTCGCGTCCAGGTCTGCGGGTCGTGCTCGGATTCCTGTGCTTCTCCTCCCCCCCCCCCTCCCCGTGCTGTGCGGACGCTGACGGGGCCCCCCCCCCCCTCCCGTGTCTCTCTCTCGGCAGGAGCGCGGGAAGATCGGCGTGATCTTCAACGTGGGCACGGACGACATCACCATCGACGAGAGCGCCGTGGTGGTGAACGACGGCAAGTACCACGTGGTGCGCTTCACCCGCAGCGGGGGCAACGCCACGCTCCAGGTGGACAACCAGCCCGTCATCGAGCGCTACCCGTCAGGTAAGGGCCGCGGCCTGCGCAGGACAGCCGGGCACAGGAAGGAGGTGGGGGGCGGGGTTAGGGTGAAGGGGGAGGAGTCGGGGGCGGGGTTGCATAGGGGGGGGCGGGGCCAGAAGACTTCAGATACCCAGAGAGCACATGCAGAGGCTTCGGACATCTCGAAATGAGGGGGGGGGAGGTGCCCTCAGATGCTTTTAATCAGTTGACCCGACGCTTATAAGACAACGCCAGCAGCTTGCAAGGAAAGACCCCTTGAAAAGATCGTCTGCCGCCTGAGACCTGTACGTGTGGAGGAGCGTTAGTTGCCAGATCAGGGAAGATCCCCTTATCGTATCTCCGGCCGCTGAGCCGATGCTGGACTGGGAGCGAGAGGGCGAGCCGTGATTCCGAGAGCCCAGGAAATGAATGGCAGCGTAGAGGAGCCTGTCTTTCTCCCCTTGCGAGACCGCGGGTGCGCTCGTCCCTGAGGCGGGCTTAAGGATGGGCCCCGCAGGTCGAAACCCCCATCAGTCAGCGATGAACGAGAGGGAGATAGCTGCCATCCTGGTGCAGCTGCCAGGTCTGAGGCAGGGCTGGGGGGTATCTTGGGGCGGGGAGGAGAAGGGGCAACTGGGCTCCCAGAGCTGCCCAGTCCACACCTCCCCCCCCTCTCCCCCAGCCCACGGGGCGGAGTGTCTTCACACGTGATCACACCCCCCTCCCCATCCCAGCATTCGCACTCCCCCTGTCCCCCCGCTAGAAAAACAAGCTTTGGTGGACGGAACCGGGCTGCTTCCTTGCGACCCGAGTCCCGTTAAGGGGGGAGGAGGGTGCCTGATCCGCCGGTCCCTGTCCCTGGCGTCACCAGCCTGTCCGGGCCGAGCCGCGGGGCGATCCTCCCAGCATTCCCCATACCCCCCCCCGCGCTGTCTCTGTGGTGCACTCTGGGTAATCGCGTCTCCCGGCCGCCGCTCACAGGAAGACATTTTTCTGGGCGTCTGATGCTGGTACAGGGCCTCTTGCTCACCCATCGAACTCCTCCTGGTTTGGTCAGTGCAATTCATCGATTGCGAAAGGTACTGTCCCGGGTCAGGTCCACCCGATGGGCCGGCGCCCGGCCCGTCAGAGGGGTGGTCCAGCTGTCGAAAGGGTGATGAAGGTTGGGTTTCTTCCAAGCCGTGTCCACAAACTCTGCCCCAGCGAGCCCGACGTGTGCCATCGTCTGGTTGTTGTCCGGCTCCGAAAGACCTGCGATGTTTGCCCTTGTCCAAGAAGGCGCAAGGGTGGAACAGAGCCTTTTATCCCAGTTCGTTCGGTTTCACACAAAATCCCTGTTGCATCTGCGCACACAGCCATGTAAACACGTGGTAAAATTACAGCAGTGCTTACATTTCTGGCGCTGAGAGACGGTGCCAGATTATTAGTAAGTGAAGCGGTTTTAAAAGCAAATGGCAATCTGAAGGCTTTCTGGGGGGTTGTGTCAGACCCAGTATTAGACATAATAGCAGTAATACTTCACAGCTCCTTTCTGAGGCTGTCTGCATTTTGAAAAGGCAGACTATCCAGATTTGCGGTCCTTTTTGGCATCAGATTTAAGACAAATTGGTTTTAAGGATGAGTCACTTGTGTCAAGAGCCAATTAGATTGTAATGCGAGGAGACTGGAGATGCAGAGAGTTTTTTACGTGCCTAATACTTTGCTTAAACACCAGTGGAGGGATATATTTTTTTCCATCAGAAGTCTGGAATTCGAGGTGCACTGCTGGAGCATGTTAAAGAGCTCGCCGTTAAATTCAAATGGATTAAAATCAGGACCGTGTTCTCTAAATAGCTCTGACTGATGCTGTCTATATCGTCTCTGTTCAGTGCATTTTCTGTTATTCCTCTTGTAGCTTTTGTTGTATCTTACCTGCATTCGACTTCAGAATTGCTTTGAAGGCTTTCTGCCTGGTATGTGTCGGAGATCACCGGGAATATTGAAGGAGTTATTAAAACCAGACTGCCTTCTGGGAAAGCAGAGGGGGTCAGCTTGGGACTGTCTGCTGATTGGACGAAGGCAGCAGCCAGAGGGGGAGGAGTTCCGGGGCTGTGGAGCCCGCTGATTGGCTGAGGAGGGGCCTGGAGGTGAAAGTAGGCCACTGCAGTGAGAGGAGAGTGATGGGACCCAGTTCATGACAGGCAGCGCTGAAGCCCAAGCCGTCACATTTCGAAACTAAAAGCGCTTTGGGTTCTGTAAGCCGCTGTGTTTACAAGAGGAGCCGGAGCAATTAACATGGCTCCATGACTCAGGGGTTAGAGCACTGGCCTTGTAAACCAGGGGTCGCAAGTTCAAATCTCACTGGGGCCTGGCAGAGCGGTGGCTCTGTGGCTCAGGATCTGAGCCTGTGGCCTGAAGGTTGCCGGTTCAATTCCCACAACCGGCAGAGGAATCCTACTCCGTTGGGGCCCCTGAGCGAGGCCCTTCACCCCCCAGCTGCTCCAGGGGCGCCGTATAAATGGCCGACCCTGCGCTCTGACCCCCAGCTTCTCTCTCCCTGTCTGTGTGTCTCCTGGAGAGCCAGCTGGGGTCTGTGAAAAGACACATCCCTAATGCAAGACATTGCACAGGGCTGATAAAGTGATGTTATGTTATGTTATAAAGGTGGCTAATGAAGTCCCTGTCCTGTACAGGGCTAGTGCAGCTGACCCCAGCGGTGTGATGGCTATCTGATTTAAGCACGGGGAGGAATGCACTGGGAGAAAGACTCCCTTTTCAGCGTGTGTCTATGAAAACATCACATTCGGGGCGCAACGCGTGCTCCGATGTTGTTATTCGAAAGACCACCCCTCCTGCAGCACAGTATCTCCCTGTCGCCATCGCGGGAGCTTCGGTCTAGATCTGTGGTCCGGGCGGAGGAGCGCCACCTACTGGTCCACCAGCACAGCCCGGGTTTCCTTTTCCTTGGAGGTCTCTGCTTTGCTTGCTGTTATCCGACGGGCTCAGGGTACAAGGCAGTGACGTTGCTGTCACGGAATTCGGTCCCGCCTGGAGAGCAGTCAGTATAGTGTCTTGACGTCTGCATGCCTATTGTCCCTGTTTTGCCAGTGTCAGGGGAAACGCAAACACAGGAGACTCTCCCCCTTGTCAGAAGCAGCTCCGGAGTCTAGCAGGCAGGAAGAAAAGAGTCAGGACATGAAGTCAACACGTTGTCTCGGGCGCCCCCTGTCTCTCTCTCTCTCCTCTCTCCTCTCTCCCTCTTTCCCTCTCCCCCTCCCTCTCTCCCCTCTCCCCTCTCTCCCTGTCTCTCTCTCCTCTCCTCTCTCCTCTCTCACCCTCTCTCTCTCCCCTCTCTCTCCTCTCTCTCTCCTCTCTCTCCCTCTCTCTCCTCTCCCTCTCCCCTCTCCCCGGGCCTGTAGGAGGTGTGCTCTCTCTCCCCTCACATCACGCAAGGGCCCCCGCCCTGCTCCTTGTGCTGCGGGTGTAGGTCCCGGCAAGGTCAGCCCAGAGCGATGGCCGAGTCAGGTGCGAGCCGTGCGTGTGCAGTGGTGCATGCCAAGCCAGGCAGGGAGAGCCCCCCCTTCTGTTGTTCTCCTGCTTGTGTGCTTTCTCAGCACTCCCAACCCTCCCTGGCCTCTAACGAGCCAGGAACTAATTAATTCCATCGATCACGTACACAGTAGGACCTCGGAGGCATGACAAAGCAGAAGAGGAGGCTAATCAGCCCGTCGCAGTTATTGTGGACCGAGGACTGTGCTTGTTCCACGCACCAGCCACCCTTTGCGTACAGAGGCGCTCCCATTTCAGTCACAGAGCCTCCTCGTTTTTTCGCTTGTGTTCTCGGGTTCGGGTTTCACAGCGGAGCCTGAACCAAGCCACATAGGGGTTGACCTTGTCAAGTGGCGTTTTGGGGATTTCAGATCCCGACGAGATTCCAGTCTCCTCTCGGGATCCAGCTGCTCCTCTGTCTGGTGCAGGCGAGCGCAGGCTGGAGACCGGCGTCACTCACAGGTGCTGTTGCCATGGCAGCAGAGAGAGGCGATGTGTCGCATGCTGCCCCTCGTCCATGCGTCTTTGTCCGTTGTGTGTTGTGGGCTTTTTGTGTCCATTCAGCTTTTTCAGCAATTCTGTGTGATCACTAAGTGGGCATTGTGTTGAGAGTCTACCTCCCCCACTGATTCACACTGATGTGCTGTCCTGTAGCAGTGCCACACTGCCCTGGTGCTGCTCTGTCTTGTGGCAACGATGCCCTCAGTGCTGTCCTGTAGCAGTGCCACACTGCCCTGGTGCTGCTCTGTCCCGATGCCCTCAGTGCTGTCCTG